TTCCAGAAACCAAAAATGTAGTTACCTGCAAAATGCCTGGACTAAACCCTAAAAACCCTAAACCCTAAACCCTAAAGCCTACATCCTAAACCCCAAAAACCCTAAACCCTAAACCCCTAAACCGAAACCCTAAACCCCTAAACCCTAAACCCCTAAACCCCTAAACCCTAAACCCTAAACCCTAAACCCCTAAACCCCTAAACCCTAAACCCTAAACCCCTAAGCCACGCCGACCTTTGCAGGTCAAGGCCACGGATGCCGAGCCTCCCACTGCCACGGCCCTGGAGATCATTCAGGCGCGGTTTAGGGTTTAGGGTTTAGGGTTTAGGGTTTAGGGTTTAGGGTTTGGCTTTAAGACTTGAAGAGGTAGAGTTTAGGGTGTACCGGGAATTCTCACTAGAGGCGCTCGAAGATGTAGAGTTTAGGGTGTTTGTGGGAAGTTCGGGAATCTATAGGGGTTTTGGGAGCGGTTCACGGGCTTTTTCGGACTAATTCGAAGTGGTTTTCTGTGTGGGGCGGTTTAAAAGGCTCGAGTGGAGGTTTATGCCTTAGAAGAGCTTTACAGATCCGATACCCTTAGGGGTGCACTCTTCCTTAGACGAAATCCGGGATCCGTAGTTAGGGACTCTTCGTCGTCGCATAGATGTAGATGCCTGCATAATCACTACAGAGTACTCTTAACTTAGGGTTCCTAGTTTTATGTATGCTATGGCATACCCCGAACTTCTGACTCTATTGTAATCTTACAGGCTTCAAACTACTATCGTCCCGGGTCTGCGAGGTCTGCAGTAGCCTTCAGTTCCCGTCTCCGGGTTTGGGGGTCGCGGTGCATTAACAGAGTTCCTGAGGGTTTAAGGTTCAGGGTTCAGCGGATCCTCCATTCAGGGTTTTGGGAGTTTCTCTGTACTGATCATCTTCTGAATCGCAGGAACCCTACACTCTAAATCCTGAGCGCTCAACCCTGAGCCTGAGCCCTAAAACCGAAACGCTAAACCGTACTCGCAGGAGCAAGATGCTTGCAAGACCAAGAATCCAAGGGCCCCTTTGTGAAAACAAGTCAAAGTAAAAAGTATTGTGCATATACCCCTGATTAACAAGCCCCCCTAGCGAAAAAGGGCTCCTTATTTTCAGGAAAGGGGTTTTATTCATCAGGGGTCTGCATTATACCCAAACTCTAAACCCTAAACCCAAGCTGCTTCCTTCAAACTAAAGGCGTTTTGGAGTCTCCTGGGTATTCACACCCCCAAACTCGTCCGCAGGCAGCCGAGCCTGAAACGCAGGTCTTGGAGTTGGGTCAGGACCGGGGCTTAGAGCTTTGGGGTTCAGGGCGGAATATGGAAGCCTCATTAATATACCTAATTATACGATTTTGGGAGTTCCTTCTTATGTTTATTACAGTATAGTATAATATACCCCCAAACCGAACCCTATTCTAATTATGAAGGCCTCTACATTAGGGTTTGGGGTTCCAGGGCATTGGGATCTGGGGGTTGGGCCCTGGGTTCATGTCAGTGCATAGGGTTTGAGAGCTTGTGGGCTCTAGGGTTTCGCTCAGAATGGTGCGGACGTCTTGTAGGTTGTTTTTAACCATCCGGCTTTTTTGGGCGAAGGAGGCAGTACAAACACGAAACGCTGAACTCAATCCTCAAACCCACAACTAAACCCTAAACCTCAGCTTCGGACAGCCGTTGACATGCGCAGTCCAAAACGAGTACTTGAAGCCACAGAGCCAAAGAGGCCCGAATCCTCTAAACCCAAACCCCCAAACAACACCAAGCCGCTGTAATGTAGGGGCCTAATAATGACCTATAGTCTTTTGGGGGTTCCTTATTATACATATATAGTATGATATATACCCCAAAACCCTATTCTAACCATTAAGACCCCTACATTAAACCCTAAACCCTAAACCGTATTTGGGGAGAGGCGCTCAGTGCCCTGGACACCTACGTCAAGGGGCGGAACTCGGAGCTTCGAGCGGGCAAGAAGCTGCAAGGAGACGCCGAGGCGTCGTTTAAGGGCGCCTTCGGGCTTCTTTCGGGTTTTGGGGTGTCAGGGTTTGCGGCTTTAGGGTACCCTAAACCCTAAACCCTTAAACTAATTAAGAAGCTCTTTAGGGTTAAGGGTTTCAGGGTTTAGGGCTTTGGGGTTTTAGGGGGCCCGAAACCTAAACTCTAAACCCTAAACCCTAAACCCTAAACCCTAAACCCTAAACCCTAAACTCTAAACCTTAGACCGACTTGACTCGCAAGCTATGTTTGAGAAGCTCGGAAGACCCTGATCTCCTCATCTGCGGCTCCTAAACTTAGCGGTTTAGGGTTTAGGGTTTAGGGTTTAGGGTTTAGGGTTCAGGGTTTAGGGTTTAGGGTTTAGGGTTTAGGGTTTAGGGTTTAGGGTTAGGAGTTTAACTTTTGGGGGGTTTCCATATGAGATATAATCAGTAATTAGGCTAAAAGTGTAAATTTTAGGAGGGGTTCAGAATTCAACGGAGGGCTTCCTGGGTTAAAAGGTTTAGGGTTGAGGGTTTAGGGTTGAGGGTTGAGAGTTCACGGTTTAGGGTTTAGGGTTTAGGGTTTAGGGTTGAGGGTTTAGGGTTGAGGGTTGAGAGTTCACGGTTTAGGGTTGAGGGTTAAGAGGGGTTTGGGTTTAGGGTTGCGGGTTAGGGCATAGAAGGCCATACATGATTTAGTATTTAGTATCGTCCCTTAGAGTTCCAAGATAGTCACCCAGAACCCTATTGCAAATTCATCATTCTGTAATTATACTAGGCGGGTTTCCTTGGGGCCTGTGAGGGGCATTGGGATAGCTAGCTCCAAACCCATAAACATTAACACGTAAACTGAATTTTCACGTGTAAACAAAAGCTGCACCCCTAAAACTTCTGAGCCCTAAACCCAAAGAAGGAAGTAACAGCCACTGATTCCTGCAACCCGCAACACAAATCCTAACCCGCCAGCCCCAACTCCTTAGACCTTATAAACCCGAATGCCCTCAAACCTTCAACCTTAGCAAGAACCCTAGACCCTTCCAAGTCCGAAAGAAACCCATTAGGGTTTAGGGTTTAGGGTTTAGGGTGTTAGGGTTTAGGGGTTTAGGGTTTAGGGTTTAGGGTTTAGGGTTTAGGGTTTAGGGTTGTGATTCACCCTTGCAGAACCCTCCTCTTTCCTTGAGCGAGGCAGCTTTCAGAGTTGGCTGGTGGACCGTCTTCCTCTCCCTCCCCATCAGCATCTGGCCAATCGCACCTGAACTGCAACAGCCCTTTTGGGTTGAGGGTTTTGGGTTTTGGGTGTTGGGATCAACGAGTTCGTGGGAGTTGAGGGCTTAGGAATGCGCCACATAAACCCGAAGCTGAAAAACACCCTATGACGCAATCTATGCCGTAACTAACTACATAAATCCAAACCCCTGGACCAAAATTCAAGTTCTTTTTGCCTTTCAACACACTCTAAACCCTACACCCTAAACCCTGAACCCTAAACCCCTCAACCCTAAACCCTGAACCCTAAACCCCTAAGCAGCCTAAGCCCTAAACCCTAAACCCCAAACACACTCAGGCACTGAAGCTGCAGGAGGTCGGTAGCTTGCAGCGCGTCTTCCTCGATTTCTGGGGTTCGATGCTGCTCGGCTAAAACGAGCGGGGGGGGGGGGGGCTCTCTCGCTCTCTAGGGCTTAGGGGTTTAGGGTATAGGGGTTTGGGGTTTGGGGTTTAGGGGTTTTGGGTTTAGGGGTTTTGGGTTTAGGGGTTGCGAAGATATGGGGTCTCTCTCTCTCTCTCTCTCTCTGTCTCTAGGGCTTTCGGGGTTACAGGTCTTTACAATCAGGATCTTCATCTTGGGACTTCTATAGCAGTAGGGTTTCTCATATCTAGACACTCCCACGTCTTGGGCATCAGTTTCCAGGGTTGAGTCTTGGGATTTGGACTTCATGCTTCCGGGTGCAAGCTTCCGGGGCAACGGCGGAGGGTTGTGGCGACTTCGGGGGCAGGGAGTTTGGGGATGCGTTGGGTTTAGGGTGTAGCGATGATATGCAGAAGCTTGAATAATTACTTGGTAGTACTGTTCCTTAGGCCTTAGGGTGTTTTTTATATTAATGCTACAGACAGTAGAATGTACATCAAAACTTATCACCCTAAGGAACGTTTGGGGTTCCCTAGCCAGGGCTGGGGGAATCGGCTAAGTATGTAGGCTTTCGCTCAATTTGAATGTGACGCACTCTCAAGGGCGGGTGGAGGAACTCCTCAGGAAAGCTCCATTGCCACAAGCCAGATATCGAAGCTTCTTGCTTCAACTTGCCCCAACGCTAGCCCCGCCAAGTCCCGCACCCGAACGAGCAACTACGACCGACTATGCAGCGACATCCGAATGTCATACCAACTTTTAATCTGGAAAGGGGTTGCTGGGCCTTTGCAAAATGCACTGGTCACTAATCTACTCTTACGCACCGCAAGATCCCCTAACACACCAAAAGCAGCCCAACACCCTGAACATTCTTATCCTTGGGCAACATAGCCCAAACGCGCTGCAGAAAATGCGCCTGGACGTCTCAAGACATGAATCCTACGTTCCTTATGGTTACATGGTATAGACCCACCCAAACCCCAAACCCTATACAACCCTTTTAACCCCTAAACCTTGGACCCTGCGTGAACCCAAACCCTACACCTTAAACCCTGACAATCCTAAATCCTAGACCTTAGACCATTAGCTTACACCCTACACCCTAAAGCCTAAACCTTGGACCATTTATTGTAACCAAAACCCTACGACATAAACCCTGAACCCTAAACCCTGAACCCTAAATCCTAAATCCTAAACCCTAAACCGTGAACCCTCAACCCTAANNACCCTACACCCTAAAGCCTAAACCTTGGACCATTTATTGTAACCAAAACCCTACGACATAAACCCTGAACCCTAAACCCTGAACCCTAAATCCTAAATCCTAAACCCTAAACCGTGAACCCTCAACCCTAAACCCTAAACCCTGAACCCTAAACCCTAAACCCTCAAGTTCCTAAAAGAGCTCTGAGGCTCCTACAATTCCTTTTCTGCGTGGGTTCAACCCTGGGCGTCTCGGTGAGGCGCCTCGATCTGCGCTCAGTTTAGGGTTGGGGTTTTGGTGTGTTGGGGTTTAGGGGTTTAGGGTTTAGGGTTTAGGGGTTTAGGGTTTAAGGGTTTAGGGTTTAGGGTTCCCACAGGGAATACCCACAGGGATTCAGGGTTTAGGGTTTAGGGGTTTAGGGGCTTTAGGGTTCAGGCTCTGGGTTTGGGGTTTAGGCTGGTTTGGGGTTTAGGCTTTCAGGGTTTAGGGTTTAGGGTTTGCGGTTTAGGGTTTGGGGCTTAGTTTAAGCAGGTTTGTAAAGTTTAGGGGCTTTAGGGTTTAGGTCTTTCGGTTTGGGGTTTAGGGCAGTTTAGGGTTTTGGGGTGTCGGGTTTTGGGGTTCAGGGTCTAGGCTTGTTCAGGGATTGTTTAGGGTTTAGAATTTCCGGTTAGCATTGCTAGCTTACTGATCAAAGAACTAAATGTTTTGAGTTTCTAACATAAATTAACGATTAAGCAGTCATACTGCTGGTAGTATGAAAGTTGATGCTTATTGTCTCAGGAGTCATGATAGAGCTCATAGTTGCCAAGCATTGATTTGAGCTAATTCATATGACACTGTTTGGCGTTATAACCGTTGTCATGATTAGCGCTATTCTTGCTACTTTGTATATAAGTATATACGCACATATACGCATATATATATATATATATATATATGTATATGTATAAGTGTATATATATAAGTATATATATATATATATCATGATTGCTGCAGCATTGTTATTGGTACTCGTACACTAATTAATGCTTCTGGTGATGGTCGTGACTAGCCAGTCTCATCCCTCATGCCGTCATTGCAAGCGAAGATACTGCTGCTGCTGCTGACGGCGACGGCGACCGCAACTACACTGCCACCATCACCACATCGCCTGCCGCAACCACCACGTTCCTTATTATGATTATACTATAAAGGAGCCCAAAGCCTTCTTCTAATTATTAGGCCCCTATATTATAGGGTTTAGGGTATGTTAGTCTCCGTTTGGGACGTCTGTAGAGTGTTTGGACATTCCGAAGACAAGAGCCTTGAACAAACTCCAAGCAACAACGACAAACCAGCATTGCCTGCACTGCCTGCTGCATGGAGAGCTTTCGATGCTGAAGTTGAGTAAACTATACATGACCTCAGTGACAACCTGGAACCCTAAACCATAAACCCCAAACAGGGGCTCCCTTATACCAGGCATCACAGTGCCCACCTTGCAAGGTACACATTGGAAGGATGGCTGGGTACAGCCCTGGCCACCCTGTTTCTTGATCGCATGCTAAGGCTTTTGACAAGTTTACGGTGGTGGATTTAGGGAGTCAGGCTCGGTGTGGTTTTGGTGGCCCAGGATTTGATTTCAAGAATTGGGGTGGAGGAAATCATGAATTATGGGGCGTGAGGTTAATGGGTTTTTGTGGTGTGAGGGGACTGGCTTCCGGGGGTTTCGGGCCCCAAGCCCCTAAAGCCTAAACCCGAGCATCTCTGGGAAACACGTCAGCTTTCTGCGCCCGTCGTGGGTTTTGTGTTGTGGCCAGCTGTGAGTCGAATTCTACCCTTCTCATCCCTCGACCCTCAAGTGTTTATTCTTGAGGGGTTAGGGTATTCCCTGCCCTACGCTTGCAGATCGCGAGGTTTTTATCGGTGGTCGATTAGGGTTCGGGGTTCGGATTTAGGGTTTGGAGTTTTAGGTTTCAGGTTTTTTCAGGATTTAGGGTTTTCGCGTGCGTTTTTAGGGTATTGGGATGGTCCGGGTTTTCCATCCCAACTTTTACCGGTTTAGGGTTAGGGGCTTTTACCTCTGGACCCCTGCGAAGACGCCAGTGTATGGTATGGGAACCTGATTGGGTATGAAGCCTAATATATATGGGGTTATAGGGCCAGGGTTTCTGAATCAGGTTCCTACATTCGTCTCTATTGCAGTTCCTTTGAGTTGCATAGAGCAGTCTACGATTGCTCGCAGGATCCTATGATATATTCAGAAGCAGGATGACCACAAGAAAAGGACTTGCGTGTGAGATCCTAAACCCTAAACCCTAAACCCTACACCCTATAAACCCTAAACCCTAAACCTTAAACCCTCCTGGAGGATGCCTTGTGCCAGTCTTACCTTCATGCGCTCCTTGGGTCTGGATGTAAGGCGTCAGCCTTGTAGCCGTAAGCTGCGGACAAGTCTGAGTAGTACTGTTTGGGGTTTAGGGTTTAGGGTTTAGGGTATAGCTACTAGAAATCCTCAGGTTTCTCGGATAGCCGACCACATCATCCTAGGTAGTATAAGGGAGACCTCAAAGGGGGCCCTTCTTAACCCTACTTCTGGCTCTGACACAAACTACCGGGGGCTCGGGGCCGAACGACACACACACACACACACAAAAGTGTCTTCCCTCGACTAGGTTAGGGTTTAGGGTTTAGGGTGTTGGGTCCTGAAGACAGGAACGATGCCGTCTTTGCGGCACCCCAAGCCCTAATTCCCACACCCTATACCCCATAAACCCCGCAAGGAACATGCTGCTGCTGAACAACGTGGGGAACTGGATGGCAGGCACGCGGATGCCTTGGCCCCCAACCGCCTCGCTGTAGGACCCACAAGCCATGAAGCCATCAAGCACTTGGGAATAGATGTAGAAGACATTTAACTGGGGGTAGGATTATCCAGTTAAAGCAGCCAAAAATAAATTTGAACATGTTCGAATCTTGAACATACCTAGATATTCGAGCCCAGTGGTGCAAAGAAGCTCGCAACTCAAAGGCCATGGGCGCAGAAGTCAAAACATGTCAAACGTGATCTCTCCCCCCAGAGACTCCAGGATATTACGGGTCAAATCGCATTAAGGATCCCTGTATGATTTAAGGCATCTTTTGCTGAATGAAGCGGTCTTGGGGTCTCTGGGAACGCGCCCAGAGTTTCCAATATCTGTGAATTAAGGAATACACCTCAGATCATATTCGGGATCCTACTATAGTTTGAGGTAAGTTTAAGGAATATACCTCAAATCGTTTTAGGGATCCTACTATAGTGTAATTTAAGGTAAGTCAAGGAATATACCTCAAATCATTTTAGGGATCCTACTATAGTTTATGGTAAGTTTACGGAATTTACGCATTAGGGATCCTACTATGGTTTCGGGTAAGTTTAAGGAATATGCCTTCAACCATATTAGGGATCCTACGTACTATAGTTTAAGGTATGTTCTTTGATTGAGGTATATACCTCGAATCATACTCGGGATCCTACTATGGTTCAAGATTTCTTCCTTAATGAGGGTCTATTGAACTATTGGAATGTCTGGATCCCAACCCTAAACCCTAAACCCTTAATTCCTTAATTATGATATATTGGAATGTCTGAGTCCCAAGCCCCTAAACCCTAACCCGTCGCTGAGGGCTCTCGCCCTCCCGAGCTGGTCTTGCATCCTCACCCCTACAGATGTTCAAGATCTAAGGGCTCTTAGGAACTGGTTTTGCTATGTTATGTGTGCACAAAAATCCAGGCGCTTGGAGATATTGTTGCTAGTTTTGTTTCCGAGGGCCCGCAAAGTAGACCCCATACCCCAAACCTGAACCCTGCACCCTAGACCCTAAACCCTAAACCCTAAACCCTAAACCCCCCAACCCAAACCTGAACCCTGCACCCCCATACCCGGGACCTGAACCCAAGGCCCTAGAGTTTGGAGCCAAACGAGGTGGCTCGTATGCCAGCCGCCTCGAGTTCAACAGCACCGCCACGAATGACACTCTGGTCACTTCGAGGCTTGAGCAGTTTAGGGCCTGTATACGGTTCCTTCAAGGGCTCTTCCTACTACAGGGATCCCCTAAACCCTAAACCCTAAACCCTAAACCCTAAACCCTAAACCCTACAGGGATCTTCAAGAGTTCTACAGGCGCTTTAGGGTTTGGGTCTTCGGGATACAGGGCTCAGGGTTGAGAGCCAAGCTGCTGGCTTGCAGCGGCAGGGTTCAGGGTTGAGGAACTAGGCTTGAGGGTGGGTTTAGGGTTTAGGGTTTAGGGTTTAGGGTTTAGGGTTTAGGGCTGAGGGTGTTGGTGAAGATGATTCGATTAAGAATTGTTGGGTTTCTCCGAGGGCCAGTCAAAAGTACCTATTGCGAGCTTTGGAGTAGCACTTGTGGAGACATGTGGAGTAGCCACAAGAACCTCACTTTCCATGCTTCCCTAAGAAGGTAACCTAGGGGCCTAGATAATTACCAATACTATTTTTTTGGGGGGGGGCTCCGTATTGTACTTATGGTATAATGGACCCCAAAACCCTATTCGAATGATTAAGGCCCCTGCATTAATCTAGGAGCGTGAAGAATTGCCAATATTATCCCTCCGAGCTCCTTCTCAACAGAATTGCGCGACCATATACCCCGGGTCCCTATTCTGATCATGAAGGAGGCGAAGTGACGAAGCCTAGACCCTTAACCATAAACACTAGACTCTAACCCCCAGACCCTAAACTTAAACCCTAGACCCTAAACCCTAAACCCCAGACCCTAAACCCTGAACCCTGGGAGTTTTTGTTCGGCAGTTGGGTTTCGGTGTCTTTGGTTGGGGTTCGGACTTGGGGTTCAGGACCCTAGGTCCCTTTAGGGTTTAGGGTTTAGGGGTTTAGGGGTTTAGGGGTTTAGGGTTGAGGGTATGGGGTTTAGGGTTCAGGGTCTAGGGATTTAGGGGTTAGAATATAGGGTTTAGGGCTTAGAAGTTTAGGGATTTAGGGGTCAGGGGTATCTTGTTTAGGGTTTAGGGGTTTAGAGGTTCGGGTTTGGGGTATATGGTACAGGGTTTAGGGTTTCAGGGTTTAGGGTGTAGGGTTTTGGGGGTTTGGCTTTTAGGGTTTCTGGTCGAGGGTTAGATCCCAGCATCTGTAGCTTATGGTTTGGTTTTCAAACGGTCCAAATGCACTAGAAGCAGGCCCCCTACGTCCCTCAGCCACGGTCAAAAGTCCGCTGAACCTGAAACCCTGAGGTGGCTACCGCTCTGCAACACCAATGCAGACCTGAGCTATCATGGCTGTGTGCCCCCTGACATGTCCGGAGTACTGTTGGGTGTAGGCTCAACGATTCGGGTTGAAGCCGTGTTCATCCGGTCCTGGGGCCAAGTTTCGTCTGTTTACGCGGCTTGGAAGGTTCATGGGTTGAGGGTTTCGGGGTTTCGGGTTTAGGGCTTCGGGCTTGAGGGACTTGAGGGTTTTTGTTTCGGTGGCCTTCGGCTTTTTGTTCCGACGTGGCTGTCAAACTATGAATTCCGAAGCCCTGATACCTGCAATCGCGAAGGCGGAATCAACTCAAATATAGAAGCCTAATGAATTGCCGCTGTTATTTTTTCGGGTTCCGTATTGTAGTTATACTCAAAAGGAGCCCCGAACCATATTCTAATCATGACGGCCCCTACATTAGGGTTCGAGGGGGTCAGGGCCTAATGTAAAGGTCTGAATAGCTAGAATAGGGTGTTACGGTATATTATAGCTTCCAGCATTACAATAAGGTAACCCCAAAGCAGTATTGCTAATGATTTTGGCCCCTTTTCTTTAACCCTAAACCCTCAACAGAAAAATCTTCCGGTCTGCCAGGCATCAATTCCCGAATTGGGAACCCCAAAGCCAACATGCTTAGGGTTTAGGGTTTAGGGTTTAGGGTTTAGGGTTTAGGGTTTAACTCCTAAAGCCCTGTAAACCTTAAATCCTGCTTAGAACCCTTGGCATAGACATCTTCGTACTAAACCCCAAGCCCTAAACCCTAAACCCTAAACGCTTATAAGCCCTAAACCCTAAACCCTTATAAGCCCTAAACCCTGTACAGCACCCGAAGAGGTTGAATTTGAATACCGGCCTCATGGAAGAGGCGGAGTACGGCAAGGCCCATGGGACCCACTCTAAGATAGGGATCGGAATTGTTCGAAATAGTAGCTTAGGGCTATAGGCTTATAGGCTTATAGGGTTATAGGGTTATTTAGGGTTTAGGAATAGTTGGAGACAGTAGTTTCGGGTTTTATACGGATTAAATTAGGGCCGTTAAACCCTAAAACCTAAACCCTGAACCCTATCCTAGAATAGCCCCTTATCTTCCCCAACATAAGTGTAGTATACAAAACCCAAAACCCTAAACCCTAAACCCTAAACCCAAAACCCAAAACCCAAAACCCTAAACCCTAAACCCTAAACCCTAAACCCTATTCTAGCGATGGCGAGAGCCGTCCGGGTCGAGCTCAGAGGTTTAGTAGGGTCTACTTTTCCTTTTAAGGGCTTCTTTGAGGGATCTATAGGTAGTCCTTAAGGATCTATAGATATTCCTTTGAGGGCTTCGTCTTTAAGGGATCTTATCAAGGATTTAGTAGGGCATCCGTGTGGGGAATTAAGGATTTAGTAGGGTTTTCTTGTACATTTGGTAAGGGGTTTGTAAGGGGGTTCGACAAGAGCTGCGGCCTACACCCTAAACCCTAAAGTCTAAACCTTAAGCCTTAATCCCTTAACCTTAAACCCTGAACCTTAAACCCTAAACCCCTTGAAGGGGTGTGGACAAGAGCTACGGCCTCCGGGAGTGAAGGTTTAGAGTCGGGGTGAGGGGCTGAAGCTTTTGGATCGACATAGGGGTGTAGTTTAGGGATATAGGGTTTAAGGTTTAAGGGTGTAGTTTTAAGGTTTAGGGTTTTGGGGTTTTGGGGTTTAGTTTAGGGTTTAGTGTTTAGGGTTGTGATTTAGGGTATTTAAGGATTCAGGGGCTTTCAGTGTTGGTTTAGAGTCGAGGTCTGGGCCTGGGTCTTTGATTATAGTGCAAGTGCATGAACAGAAGCATTGCCGCAGCACATGTTTGGAACTTTAGGGATTTTTGGTGCCAATCTGGCATTGCTGTTCTCCAGAGGCAGCGGTGGTACTGCTGGACACCATCTTGTTTATGGCCATGATGCTGCACCTTGGCTGCCAAATACCCAGCAAGTTTCGTTTGCATGTTGGTGGCAACGCCGGAGTTGCCTTGTGTTGTTTGTTGGCTGATTTCGGGTATGGTTGGAGTCTTTGCATGACAAGCATCCGTGGCTGTTCGGGAACTATGGCTATGTTTTCAATCGTTCCGTCGGTTTGACCGATATTCTTGTATTCGGTAGGAGACATGAAAAATGAGGCTTGGACACACGTGTGGGAGCGAGTCAGTCAAACTGTGTAACATTTGGGTTCTGAGGTGGGCGTTTGCGGCTAAGCTCATGAGGCCGTCAAGTGCCTTCAAGCCCTCAGTAAATGTAAGCCTGAAGAAAGGTTTACGTAAATGGGAGTTTCAGAAGACTAGAGTACCTGGCTCAGAGGTCCTCATTGCAAGGATCCGACTACTGGAATTGTTTTGTGTCCTTTAGCTCCTTGTCTTCTGACACTCCCAAATCGCCTAGGTAGTATTGGGGAGACCCCTTAACGGGGACCCTTCTGAACCCTACTTCTGGCTCTCTTCGACGGGACCTTATTGAGAGGGTCTATATTATGCCCAAGGGTCCCGCTAATCCTAACTCCCAAAATCCTAGAGCTCCTTGTTTTCAAACCCTAAACCCTAAACCCTAAACCCTAAACCCTAAACCCTAAACCCTAAACCCTAAACCCTAAACCCTAAACCCAAATCAGGTTCTTCGGCTTCAACACGAATGTCCGGCTCTTCAGCATCTCCACGCACATCTACCTGGCCATGTCCTTCCTCGATCCGAGCACTGGGGCCTTCGACATTCAGCCCTCCCTGGCCGGCCGCTCAGGGCTTCGGGGTAGGGTTTAGGGTTTA